TCCTTATGATATATTATAAAGACTTAAGAGCTACGGTTCCACAGCTACCTTACCATTAATTCTTTGAAGAAACCTATAGAAAAAATAAATATATATACAACAACTCCATGAAAATATATAAAATGAAAAAAATCAACCAATCTTACTATTAGGTGCGGAACTGTAGTTCTTAATTAGGTCCTTATGATATATTATAAAGACCTAAGAGCTACGGTTCCGCAGCTACCTTACCATCAATTCTTTGAAGAAACCTATATTAAAAATAAATATATATACAACAATATACATGAAAATATATAAAATGAAATAAATCAACCAATCTTACTATATGGTGCGGAACCATAGCTCTTAAGTAGGTCCTTATGATATATTATAAAGACCTAAGAGCTACGGTTCCACAGCTACCTTACCATTAATTCTTTGAAGAAACCTATATAAAAAATAAATATATATAGAACAATATCCATGAAAATATATAAAATGAAAATAATCAACCAATCCTACAATTAGGTGCTGAACCATAGCTCTTAATTAGGTCCTTATGATATATTATAAAGACTTAAGAGCTACGGTTCCACAGCTACCTTACCATTAATTCTTTGAAGAAACCTATATAAAAAATAAATATATATACAACAATATCCATGAAAATATATAAAATGAAATAAATCAACCAATCTTACTATTAGGTGCGGAACCATAGCTCTTAATTAGGTCCTTATGATATATCATAAAGACCTAAGAGCTACGGTTCTGCAGCTACCTTACCATCAATTCTTTGAAGAAACCTATATAAAAAATAAATATATATACAACAATATACATAATGAAATTAATCAACCAATCTTCCTATTAGGTGCGGAACCATAGCTCTTAATTAGGTCCTTATGATATATTATAAAGACTTAAGAGCTACGGTTCCACAGCTACCTTACCATCAATTCTTTGAAGAAATCTATATAAAAAATAAATATATATACAACAATATCCATGAAAATATATAAAATGAAATAAATAAACTAATCTTACTATAAGTTGCGGAACCTTAGCTCTTAATTAGGTCCTTATGATATATTATAAAGACCTAAGAGCTATGGTTCCGCAGCTACCTTACCATCAATTCTTTGAAGAAACCTATATAAAAAATAAATATATATACAACCATATACACATGAAAATATATAAAATGAAATAAATCAACCAATCTTACTATTAGGTGCGGAACCATAGCTCTTAATTAGGTCCTTATGATATATTATAAAGACTTAAGAGCTACGGTTCCACAGCTACCTTACCATTAATTCTTTGAAGAAACCTATATAAAAAATAAATATATATACAACAATATCAATGAAAATATATAAAATGAAAATAATCAACCAATCTTACAATTAGGTGCGGAACAATAGCTCTTAATTAGGTCCTTATGATATATTATAAAGACCTAAGAGCTACCTTTCCGCAGTTACCGTACCATCAATTCTTTGAAGAAACCTATTTAAAAAATAAATATATATACAACAATACACATGAAAATATATAAAATGAAATAAATCAATCAATATACTATTAGGTGTGGAACCATAGCTCTTAATTAGGTCCTTATGATATATTATAAAGACCTAAGAGCTGCTGTTCCGCAGCTACCTTACCATCAATTCTTTGAAGAAACCTATATAAAAAATAAATATATATACAACAATATCCATGAAAATATATAAAATGAAAATAATCAACCAATCTTACTATTAGGTGCGGAACCGTAGCTCTTAATTAGGTCCTTATGATATATTGTAAAGACCTAAGAGCTACGGTTCCGCAGCTACCTAACCATCAATTCTTTGAAGAAACCTATATAAAAAATAAATATATATACAACAATATACATGAAAATATATAAAATGAAATAAATCAACCAATCTTACTATATGGTGCGGAACCATAGCTCTTAAGTAGGTCCTTATGATATATTATAAAGACCTAAGAGCTACGGTTCCACAGCTACCTTACCATTAATTCTTTGAAGAAACCTATATAAAAAATAAATATATATAGAACAATATCCATGAAAATATATAAAATGAAAATAATCAACCAATCCTACAATTAGGTGCTGAACCATAGCTCTTAATTAGGTCCTTATGATATATTATAAAGACCTAAGAGCTACCGTTCCGCAGTTACCGTACCATCAATTCTTTGAAGAAACCTATTTAAAAAATAAATATACATACAACCATATACACATGAAAATATATAAAATGAAATAAATCAACCAATCTTACTATTAGGTGCGGAACCATAGCTCTTAATTAGGTCCTTATGATATATTATAAAGACCTAAGAGCTACTATTCCGCAGCTACCTTACCATCAATTCTTTGAAGAAACCTATATAAAAAATAAATATATATACAACAATATCCATGAAAATATATAAAATGAAATAAATCAACCAATCTTACTATATGGTGCGGAACCATAGCTCTTAATTAGGTCCTTATGATATATTATAAAGACTTAAGAGCTACGGTTCCACTGCTACCTTACCATCAATTCTTTGAAGAAACCTATATAAAAAATAAATATATATACAACAATATACATGAAAATATATAAGATGAAATAAATCAACCAATCTTACTATATGGTGCGGAACCATAGCTCTTAATTAGGTCCTTATGATATATTATAAAAACCTAAGAGCTACGGTTCCGCAGATACCTTACCATCAATTCTTTGAAGAAACCTATATAAAAAATAAATATATATACAATCATATACACATGAAAATATATAAAATGAAATAAATCAACCAATCTTACTATTAGGTGCGGAACCATAGCTCTTAATCAGGTCCTTATGATATATTATAAAGACTTAAGAGCTACGGTTCCACAGCTACCTTACCATTAATTCTTTGAAGAAACCTATATAAAAAATAAATATATATACAACAACTCCATGAAAATATATAAAATGAAAAAAATCAACCAATCTTACTATTAGGTGCCGAACTGTAGTTCTTAATTAGGTCCTTATGATATATTATAAAGACCTAAGAGCTACGGTTCCGCAGCTACCTTACCATCAATTCTTTGAAGAAACCTATATTAAAAATAAATATATATACAACAATATACATGAAAATATATAAAATGAAATAAATCAACCAATCTTACTATATGGTGCGGAACCATAGCTCTTAAGTAGGTCCTTATGATATATTATAAAGACCTAAGAGCTACGGTTCCACAGCTACCTTACCATTAATTCTTTGAAGAAACCTATATAAAAAATAAATATATATAGAACAATATCCATGAAAATATATAAAATGAAAATAATCAACCAATCCTACAATTAGGCGCTGAACCATAGCTCTTAATTAGGTCCTTATGATATATTATAAAGACCTAAGAGCTACCGTTCCGCAGTTACCGTACCATCAATTCTTTGAAGAAACCTATTTAAAAAATAAATATACATACAACCATATACACATGAAAATATATAAAATGAAATAAATCAACCAATCTTACTATTAGGTGCGGAACCATAGCTCTTAATTAGGTCCTTATGATATATTATAAAGACCTAAGAGCTACTATTCCGCAGCTACCTTACCATCAATTCTTTGAAGAAACCTATATAAAAAATAAATATATATACAACAATATCCATGAAAATATATAAAATGAAATAAATCAACCAATCTTACTATATGGTGCGGAACCATAGCTCTTAATTAGGTCCTTATGATATATTATAAAGACTTAAGAGCTACGGTTCCACTGCTACCTTACCATCAATTCTTTGAAGAAACCTATATAAAAAATAAATATATATACAACAATATACATGAAAATATATAAGATGAAATAAATCAACCAATCTTACTATATGGTGCGGAACCATAGCTCTTAATTAGGTCCTTATGATATATTATAAAAACCTAAGAGCTACGGTTCCGCAGATACCTTACCATCAATTCTTTGAAGAAACCTATATAAAAAATAAATATATATACAATCATATACACATGAAAATATATAAAATGAAATAAATCAACCAATCTTACTATTAGGTGCGGAACCATAGCTCTTAATCAGGTCCTTATGATATATTATAAAAACCTAAGAGCTACGGTTCCACAGCTACCTTACCATTAATTCTTTGAAGAAACCTATATAAAAAATAAATATATATACAACAACTCCATGAAAATATATAAAATGAAAAAAATCAACCAATCTTACTATTAGGTGCGGAACTGTAGTTCTTAATTAGGTCCTTATGATATATTATAAAGACCTAAGAGCTACGGTTCCGCAGCTACCTTACCATCAATTCTTTGAAGAAACCTATATTAAAAATAAATATATATACAACAATATACATGAAAATATATAAAATGAAATAAATCCACCAATCTTACTATTAGGTGCGGAACCATAGCTCTTAATTAGGTCCTTATGATATATTATAAAGACCTAAGAGCTACAGTTCCGTAGCTACCTTACCATCAATTCTTTGAAGAAACCTATATAAAAAATAAATATATATACAACAATATACATGAAAATATATGAGGAGTGATAACAGAAAAGAGTCATGCCCACTGACCTGAAGGAAATTTAATATTTTATGAATTAGATTAGGGATCTCTCAAAGAATTCAAGTAGGAAAATAGGTGATGAGGTATGAGGTGAGATACCTTCCCTCTATATAATATATATCAGTGACCGCTGTGGATAGTAAACTTGAAATTGACAGAAAATAGCAACTACAAATTATTTTTAGTATATTTATGTTCATACAACAGAAAAACGCAAAAATAATTGAAATTAATAGAAAACAAAAAAATAAGAGATTCTGGAAAAAAGGGGGAGTGTTAAAAATAAATTGTCCTGTCCCAAGTACCTTATAGGTAAATAGACTCCAAGAAAAAAAATTATAGTACCCTATTGCATAATTTTTAACCAACAAAAAAATACTCACCACATATAATTATAGATGAGGTTTTTGCCGTAACCCTTTGGTAACTACAAAGATAGCTGTTTCACTGTACACATTGCTTGCTCTTCAAGGTCATTGAATACTGTTCTGCTCTGTTCAGTTGTTCGGTTCCTCTAAAATATCAGATAAGTATAAAATATTTGAAAGGATGGAAACTTAAAACTTTATTTTATTTATAGACTTCTTTATAAAATGTTTATTTAATCTAAGACATTCATATAAAAATAAGGAGATGTGGTATGATGAGACATTACTGTCCACCAAAGTTCAAATGAAGTAGATGCAAGTCATTATACTGGCAACTGTAGTACGGCCTTCAACAATGAGATAAACCTAAATCATATGGTCTGGTTTAAAAGGCCCTAAGACACTAAAAATATGAAACAATTCAATTGAGAAAACTAACAGCCTAATTTATAAACAGTTTACATAAAAACAAATATGACAAAAATGAACCAAGGACAACCACTGAACTTTCAGGCTCCTGACTTGTGACAGGCACATAAAGAATGAAATGTGTCTGGGTTAAACATGCATGTTTGTAAGTGTTCAACACTCCCCCTAACCTGGGACAGAGGTGTAACAGTACAACATCAAACTATAAAAATTAGTTGAAAAAGGCTTTACCCATCAGATGGATTATTACAGTAACAAATAGAAATACATCTAACAAAAACGGGTACTTATACATCCCAAAACCAAAAAGGCACAAAGTACAGATCTGCGAGTACTCGCAGTTACTGACAGCTAGTTCAAAGCCAATAAAACTAATAAAAAACATATCATAGGGAACATGTGTACTTAAGTTTCAAGTTCAACTTCATCAAAAACTACCTTGACCAAAAACTTTAACCTAAAAACTTTAACCTGAAGCAGGACAGACAGACGAACGAACAGACAGACGAACAAAAGAACCGACAGACGAATAACCGACAGATGAACGAACCGACAGACAAATGAACGAACAGACCCACAGACCGAAAAACATTATGCCCATAAATGGGCATAAAAATCATGTATCTAAGGCTTAAATATCAATCAGTTCACATCCAACATCCAGTGGATTAAGGGTAAAGACGTCAATAATAGTCAGAGAAAAACATGACCTTGTGCAATGCCAAACTATAGGTATTGACAGATTGTAGAACCGTGAAAGTACACATGTGTAATATTTAGTATGGTTTTAATTCATTGATGACAAAATCAATATTTACACCAATAAAAACAATATTCAAAGATTTATTTACACTGTTGAATAGGTAACCTTTTAGAATAAGTTTATTTAAAGGATTGATAAGTGTACGTAACCCTGATTGTTTATGTTTTCTTTAGTACAAAAAATTCTCCTTTAATCAATGTCATATTTCAATCAATTTCTAATATATCTATCTCAACAAGAATAACAACATATCCAATATATAATATTAATATTATTCTGTAAAACTTAAACCATAAAACATTTCTTTGCATGTAAATATCATTAAGTAAGATTAAGGTTATTGTTCCGTGACCTATTGCGGTTCATATGGATGTAGATGTAGATGGCTATAAATTATATAATACATGGCAAATATTTGTAAATACTGAATATCAGCTCATAACTAAAGCAAAGAAACAGACAGATATTATTATGTTGAAAAGATATGTTATAATTTATATCTGATTAATCTTTTTAGCTACAAGTATCCAAAAGGTAATTAAAAAAAACAGGGTTTGTAAAAGTTTTTTTGTTTTTTTTTAAACTATTATACCTGTATACACTGTGTCTACCATTGTTGAAAGTCTATATAATGGAGTTGTAAGAATGTCTGGCTATCCTAAATGCATTTGAATACAAAGTTAGACGACTGTAAGTTCATAGTACTCCAAAAACTGAAAAGAAACATTTAATATTAAAACAGGTCATAAAAGTTTTCACATACCGGTAGACTAGAACAATCTACTTGCTGATGAGAGAAGTCAAACTCGCTGCAATACATTTGGATTTTCATTAAGTCAAATGACCCTAGAAATATTAATAAATATAAGATTTTCAGATCCAGGATTTTGAAAAGGGGGGGCCCATAAATGTAGCTCCATAAGGGGAAGGGCACCCCCTTAAATCAGCCTCTGCTTTTGCAAAACTTGTAAATTTGTAGACATGTACGAACATTTGGAAGAGTGTTTAATATATAAACTAATGTGAAGAAACTGTAATAGTCACCATTTTGTTTCACATCCAACCTTATTATGCATGAAAATTTTGTGAAATCTTTTTGATTCTATAAAAGTAATTTTCTAGAATTAAAAGCTTTCAAATCCCAAAGAGATCGCATTGAAGCAAATAATTATAACTAATTAATACCTTAAACTCCTCATAAACCTCTTTAGTGTACCAACAAAATTCTAAGGAAATAATCCATGTCTTTATTCAAGGAATTAAAGATCAAACTTATAATTTGGAGTCAAATTCTAACCTTTTGATCACATGATCATACAGGAAATAAAACTGTTCACTCACATCTACTCACTTCACACTTGAGTAACTGGCTGTGTACAAAAATAATTTAACCTGACAAAGGTATTTCACCAAATTATGTAACAGAATTTTGTTCAGATAATAAAACATTCCCCTAAAGGGAAAAGTTTTAATATAAGTTGTACAACTTTGCCCCCAGCGTAGCTTAGTAAAAAACAGTACAGGGGTGTGTAACAGGACACTTTGTATGAAGATACACAGACTCTTTTTATGAATAAGTCACTGGTGCATTCATTGAGTTCACTTTTATCTTTTATCACTTTATCCTTAAGGTACACCTTGTGACCTAATTACCTTGATTTATAAATATAATTTATCAGGTTGGGAACAACCCTCCAAATGAGGGATATCCCTTAAATAAAGGACTGTCCCCCAGACAAGGGGTCATTTTGCTGTTGTAGAAAAGAAAAAAGAAAATCTTAGCTTTTTTAACTTAAAAGTGGAAAAATTCATTATTTTTGGAACAACTTTTCTAAAAAAGGGGTCCACTTATTTTTAATAATAAAGAAGATATACATTCAAGTCCATCAATATTACTTCCGGTTCCGGACAAACTATGATAAACAATTCCTAAATATAGAAGGACAAAAGTTAAGGGAATGGTTCCAAGTAATATATAAAGACTCCTTATATTGATAACATCCACCACAACAGCCAATTATCACCATCCTGCCCATTATCTACATTCTTTGACCCAAAACTTGTCAAGTCATTGTAAAAACTAACAATAATATGACATCTTAATTTTTGACGATCTACCTAAAATTGCCATTGAGTGTGTTACTCAATCCAATCTTTGGATGCCCGACACTGAATTTATTAAGTATAAGTTGCCTGATCAACCAAAACCTCCAACAGGCATTGCTATCAAGGCACCTTTTGAAAAACTTTATCACAATTTGTACAGGCCAGCTGCGTGTATGGTAGCATTCTAAGTTGAATCAAAAGATCGGTTTCTGCTTTGGATAAAAACTTTTGCTTTTCGCTACCATTCCCTATTTGGGGCTCTTGACAACTATACTAATGCAAGTGGACAGACAAAAAAATACTAAAGAGGGCAACATAGGTGTCAGAAATAAATACTGACTCAAACAAACTATATATACTTACATTTCATTTATATATAATTAATATATATCCAACAACCTTTCTCATAACAGTTCAAGGAACACATTATTTATCATGGGCAAAAACAGAGTTCCAATATCTTTAATCAATTGGTGAACACAATATAGTCTTCTTGATTCATCAAACACAGAATACACTTTTTTCACAACACAATTAGACCAAAGTGAGACAAAACCTATGAAAATGTCAACCCTTAGAATTGTAACGCCAAGAACACGATACTGTGATAAATAAACAATCTACTGAAAATATTCTTGCATCATTGCAACTATTAGAGAGTAAACTATGTGAAGTGTCAAACACCTGTGCAGGCTTAAAAGATGACAACCCTACAGATAACAATTAATAACTATGATAGCAAAATGTTAGAACTAAATCAAAATCTTGATGACCTGAAAGAAAATCAACAAAAATTAGAAAAAGAGCTTCTTGTGTTATCATTTAATCAGATGAAGAAACAATTTGTAAGTTCAGCAGTCCTTGACAAGAAACTTGTAGACTTTGAAAAGTCAATTTTGACAAAAATAAATTTACAAAGAAACGAAGTTATACTTACACTGTCACATTAAAGGAAAATTCTGACTTAAGAAAGTGTTGACAAATTTGGATTGAGTCGTCAAACTCAAAACTATGAACACAAAACGAGGCTCTTGAGGAGCAAAATCGGTTTTTAAACAAGAAACTATCTGATCTTGAAAAACAACTTCATGAGATCAATAACATTTACCTGAAATTGAATACAAGGCAACCATAAGCACACACAACCGATTTACAGGGCTTACAACACAAAATGATGACATGACAGATATAAGTGAAAAAAATCAGAGATGAACAAAAAGTAAAGAAAGATGATGATAACGGTTCATGAAAAAATCAGAGATGAACAAAAGGTAAAGAAAGATGATGATAATTTTAACAGTATTCCTAAAGAAAAAACATACAGGTATGCTCAAGATCTAGAAATAATTATTGACTCTCATGGAAAGTCTATTGTCCTAAAAACTGTACAGAAACATACAATCCAAAATCAAGGTTCTTGGACCAGGAATGAAGAATATAAAAGGTGCAAGGGAGACTATTCTTTAAACAACCAACAAAGACACCAGACATATTGTATTAGGTGTGGGAAGCAATGACTTGAGTATTTAAACAACTACTGTATGTGTAAATGAAATGAAAAACCTTATAGAAAACACAAAAAACAGTCATACTCGTTCCCACATACATGTTTTATCAACATTTGATCGTGTGAAACAGCCCCATTTCAACAAAAAAGCAAAAGAATTCAATGAAGAAATAAAGAAATATTGCGAAAATCAATCAGATGTTAAATTCATTTTGAACAGTGACATAAGTGGTATTAACACGTCCATTTTTCAAGAGGATGGCATTTATTTTAATCAATCAGGCAAAAAATGCCTCGTCAGAATCTTAAAAAACACATTTGAACCCAGTATTTAGACTTAAACCTTGTAATGAGTACAAAACTTCTATTTCTACAAGTAAAACACAAAACGGAAACTTAAAACATAAACCACTACCATGGTTGACAAAACAATGACAATCAGTCTTACAGGCAAAACTACATGTACAATGAAAACCACTATAACTATTATACCGGTAGTCAACAATATCATAACGCTAACAAAAAGTGAAATGAACCTACTTCTCAGTAGACTCAGTGAGTAGACTAATATTGAACTTGCACAATAATTCAGCTATAGATTTAACTGAAAAGCTATATAGTACAGTACAATTAGCCATATACTTTAATTAAGGCCAATTAGAATAATAAGCATTTATTATAGTTATTTTTATTTTTGTACAAAAATCACAATAGTAATGTTTTAATTTTTTATTTATGTTGCTTGCAAATGTCATTAATTACATGTATATTGTAGTATACACTCTTTAAAAGTATAGCACATTACATACATATTGCTATCAATGTTTTATGATACATAAAATTAGCACACATCTCATGAAACAGAAAAATTTAGATTTACTTCCCTAATGTCCCATGTTTGAAACTCATTATTGTGTTTTAAGTTAAAGTAAAAGAAACTTATATATTTATATGTTATTTTGATAACTAAATGAAATAGAAAATATACACATTACACATATATATCAATGACTTATATGTCCCTGCATATATTAACAAAAAAGATCTGTAAAGTAATAATAATGGAGTTATTTCCCTTTCCCCGTGTCCTTTGTAAATAGATTTTTGACTTACTATATGAATATTGCCTATTGGAATATCCATGGTTTAAATGAAGATAAATTTCAGGATGATTTGTTTATTGAAAATGTTTGTAAATATGATATAGTTTTTTTTTGCTGAAACTATGTAATTTCTGAAATAAAATTAACAGAACAACTTCTCAATATAGTTAAAAATAGATGGAACTTTCCTCAATTTAGAGAAAGACATATTTTTATGTTTTACTTACATCAAACCATATAATAATAAGGATTTTCTGAATTGACATTCACAAAAATGGAAAATGATATTTCTTTTTTTCTATCTTAAGGTGAGGTGATTTTAAGCGGTGATTTTAATGCACGCACAGGTGGGGTTAAATGACTTTATTCAAAATGATGGTGTTAATGACAATTTTACAGACTGTCCAGTACCTGAAGATTATACACCTGATTTACCCTTAGAGAGAAATCAATTAGATCAAAAAAACAATTTACATGGGAATCTACTAGTTGATATTTGTAAGTCCTCTCAAGTGAGAATTGTGAACGGAAGATTTCTTGGTGACTCACTTGGCTACTTTACAATTTGTAATAGTAATGGTAAGAGCACAGTAGATTATATGCTGACATCATAGAATTTATTTTATACCATCAATAACTTTATGGTAAAACCACCTACTGATCTATCAGATCATTGTTTAATAGCATTGAATATTTTTAATTTTAAACACCCTAAAGAAATAAAGAAGGAAGAACTTATATGGTTGACAATAATAGTTTTAATGATACTGACTTCTTATTGACCAAAACTAATGAAATGTATTTAGAAGCCACAAAAAAATCAGTTTCTTTCAAAGCAAATTTTAAAAAATCCATCATACTGTACAATAAACTTAAAAATAAACTAGAAAAGGTTTTTTTCAATCCTTGATAAAACAAATAAATGATAATAAAATTCGTAAGGGTTCCGCGGAACCCAGTGTCTCGCCTACTTTTTCTGTTAATCGCAGGCTCAACAAAAATTAGGAAGTAAATCAATAAAAACATTCCTCTTGATACTATCTTTTGATTGTAAGAAGCTTCTGTCCAAGTTTGGTAAAAATCCAGGATAGTTTATGAATCTATTAAATGTTTAAAAACTTTAACTGCAGACTGAATGTAATGTTAACTGGAAGAAAACAAAATTTCCTTCTAGATACTAGCATTTGATCATAAACAAACTTCTGTCCAAGTTTGGTACAAATCCAAAATAGTATAAGAAAGTTATTAAAATTTTAAAAACTTTAACCACAGAGTGAATGTGTTGTTTCCTGGCAGAAAATCTAAGTCCATTTAAAAGTAAAATACGGAAAAAATGGATTTATTTTTTTACTAAATTTCCTTCTAGATACTAGCTTTTGATCATAAACAAGCTTCTGTCCAAGTTTGGTACAAATCCAAAATAGTATAAGAAAGTTATTAAAATTTTAAAATCTTTAACCACAGAGTGAATGTGTTGTTTCCTGGCAGAAAATCTAAGTCCATTTAAAAGTAAAATAAGGAAAAAGTGGATTTTTTTTTTTACAAAATTTACTTCTGGATACTATCTTATGAT